TTCGAAATTTCCAGCCAAACTGAAAGGAATACCTCGAATTCAGTTAACTCAGTTAAGTGGGATCAGAGGAAGACTTCAGCCCATGGTGTTCGGAAAATATAATCATCGCCAAAAAAAGTAACGCCAAGGAGTTGAGCGGTCGTCATGAAATTTGGTAATCATACTCGTTAGTGCGTAATGAAATTGATGCTATTTTCAAGGTCGTGGGTTTAAAATCCACAGAAAAACTCACTAAGCATCCCAATTTAAATGTGGTCGGATGGGTCGTACTTATCGCCCACAAAGAACATCTAGAAGGAGTTTTGTAATGAAATGCGAAAGAGGAACTTCTACTGATGTTTAGTACAATGAAGGAAAGTTAAAAGGTTATAGGATGAAGCGATGCAGGGAAAACTAGCCGAGCCAGCCGAACGCCACTAAGGATGGGGAAAAGGGCGAGTACACTGATCTGGCCAGTTTCCTTCCCTGCGTCCCTCCATTCACTCTGACTTACTTCAATCGTTTATTTTTGGTATTTAAACCCATACCAGGACGACGTTCACAATAGCGGTTTCGCCAACTTCGACAGTTCGATCGAGGTCAGTTAGTTGGCGTGATGGTGGATGGGGACGAGCCAAAGGACTTCTTTGAGGACTGTGTTCCGGGTGCAATCAAGCTGGGACTGCGGTCTAACGACCTGCCTGACAACCTGTTCCCACCACCAGTACCTCCCGTGAACACGAGTAGAAGCAATTCGGTCTCGGAGAATCTACGGCCTCAAATACCGGTCATCCCTGGGCGTCGGGATGCGAGGTCGGCCTGATCCTCGTTGCCGTTCATGGTTTGCCCCATTCTGATACCGAGTCCACCAACGCCTCACGGTAGTCACACTTACACTTAGTCGATGCGCAACCTGATGCATGCTATGCCTTACCTCCATCATGCCTACTAACCGACCTCAATAGAACTGGTGATGTTGACGAAACTGCCATTGTGAACGTCGTCCTGGTATGGGTTTAAATACCAAAAATATACGATTGAAGTAAGTCAGAGTGAATGGAGGGACGCAGGGAAGGAAACTGGCTAGATCAGTGTACTCGGCCTTTTCCCCATCCTTAGTTTTGTTCGGCTGGCTCGGCTAGTTTTCCCTGCATCGCTTCATCCTATAATAGGGGTGGGCAATTATTTTGGCTAAAGGGCCACTTCATGAGTTTTGATGAGCTTCGAGGGCCGCAAGCGTACGTAAAGAGGCAATTGCATAAAAATAGCTCAATGTAAAGTCTTACATTTTTATATACGTAAAATGAAGAATATAATTGACATTTATTGAAAACTTGGCGAAAGAAAAACAAATTATTGAGCAGACATTTATTTATTTATTCACATATTGATGAGAATGTGAGAAATTCACTCAATGGGAAGAATGAAGGCGCTGNGTTCGTATATTTGCTTGCATGTTTGCTCGCAAAATGGCGATTCAAATTGTATTCTTTGAACACTGCCACACTTTCGTTGCAAATTAAGCACACAGCTTTCCCACCCACGTCGGTAAAAAAATATTTAGAAGTCCATTCTTTGTTGAATATTCGACATTCAGTGTCCACTTTCCTCTTCTTTGATGAACTCATTTCCGAATTCACACACACTATTCGCGGGTGATATAAATACTACAATTCGCAAATTGTTGCACAAAAAATGCGAGTCGGTTTGCAGTGTAAGTCTTCAGTCCTGTTCTCACGTGTCGCTGTCAAATTGCTTCACTTATTACCATCCCAGTCTCACCCTCTCAGTCTCCCCCTCTACGCTAAACCATGACTTGCGTCAGGTCACAGAGGTCACATCAAATGCGGCGAGCCGAAGAGTGGCCTTGCTGCTATGCCAAACCCCGCACAAATACCCGAGAGGGACGCTTTTTTTTCCTCCTATCTGCTGTATCTGCCCTATTTTCTTAAAGCCTGTCACAGCTTGGCAGGAGACTCGACAGAGTCGTAAAAAGGGTCACCAGGTCGGACTTTTTTCTGAGAAGTCGCATGCTGAGTGATCTGTATCTTGGGATGATCCACCCCCTCCCTAGCTTTAAGAAAATCGCCACTGAATCCGTCCTCAGGCTGTGGGTGTGGATGACATTTAGAGGAGAGGAAAGGAAGGGGTAGAGGACCTAATTATGACAAACGAGCTAGCTCAGCAGCTGTGCGGATTAAAACTGGCCCTTTCTGGAACTAAAAGAACAAAAATGTTTCCTTTTGCTAGACATAATGGCGGGCCGGATGAAACCAATTGGCGGGCCGGATACGGCCCGCGGGCCGTATTTTGCCCACCCCTGTCCTATAACCTTTTAACTTTCCTTCATTGTACTAAACATCAGTAGAAGTTCCTCTTACGCATTTCATTACAAAACTCCTTCTAGATGTTCTTTGTGGGCGATAAGTACGACCCATCCAACCACATTTAAATTGGGATGTTTAGTAAGTTTTCTCTGTGGATTTTAAACCCACGACCTTGAAAATAGCATCAATTTCATTACGCACTAACGAGTATGATTACCAAATTTCATGACGATCGCTCACCTCCTTCTAGGCGTTACTTTCTTTTGGCGATGAGTATATCTAATGGATTCGAACTGAACAGATAGGCACAGCAGCTGAAATTTAAAAAGCACCGTATGTTTTCTGCAAGGGTTCTAGGGAAAGTTTAAAGGTCTGTCATACATTCATAGTTCTACATTTCTTGTGGACTTCCTTTCTTGAAATGAAAGAAACACTTATGGTCCTGTCCTGTCCGTCTGTGTCCATCTGTCCACACTTTGGTTGTCCGAAGATAACTACGAAAATATCAGCCTGACCATTTCGAAAATTGGCCGGCAGGTTGATGTGAACAAGATACAGGCTGAGTTTGTTTTTTGGAAAATTTCCCCAAAATTGTCATTTGTATCGCGAATTTTGGATTTGAAATTTGCCCAAGGCATGGATGCCATGAGTTCCCCCAAGAGCCCTTAAGAATCTGGACCACACTGTGTATGCGCGTGCGACCAAGGCCTTCGGCGTGGCGCCGTGTGTTTTTTGTGCTGTGTGTTTTTTACTAGCCTTCGTGGCGGATTGATCGATCCACGCACAACCCTCCATCTTCCCATTATCATTTCAGAGGCACCATGAGTAAATTTGCAACATCTAACTGAGAAATGATATTTTCGATGGTCGAGGATTGGAAATATGAGGGAAATTTTGCTAAAGCAGGTGACAAAATGAAAGTCTCCTTAAATAAAAGGTCAAATACCGGACTGGGCTTGCCGACCTTGTTGCATATGGGCATCATTAGGCAATAACTTAATTCATCACATACACTGAGAGAATAAACAGTCCATAAGTTCAGCACCATCTGCTTTGGGACTAATTTTCTCTGTATATGTTAATTGAGTTGCTCTGTGCGACATATCCTTTGCCTAAGTGCCTAAAGTTTCATCGGAATACATGCAGCGGTTATGGAGAAATCTTAACTGAAAGCAAATTACAGCATTCGGGCAGTTTTGTCCCTGGTGTCATAGTCCCGTCTCGCGCATGGGTCCGCGTCTCGCGTCGAGTTCCACGTTTCACGTGGAACTCGACGAATTATTCAGAGAATCACGAATTTGTATGCACTAAGGTTGCGCGAATATCTTCTGTTCGTCAGGTGCTTAGATAAGCTCGTGGCCTATAGTTTAGAAGCCGTCCTCTTCCAGGGCTGTCTTCATTCTTCTTTAGTGACATTCTTGAATACAGTCATCATGCGTCCACTTTCTGACGGCACCTTGCTAAACGTCCTCTCGCTTCTCCACGAGGACCATAGTCTCAGGGAGTTAACCAAGCGATGCAACGTCGGTGGATTGTGTGTTCAGAAGATCCAGAAACAGCATTTTCCTGTCCGCAGAGGGCGAAAGACGGTCGTTCCCAGATGCTATCATCTCAAGACAAACGGTTCTGCGTCCGTACTATTTCCTCTGGGAAGCTGTAAACAGCCACACAGGTCACAAACAAGCTCAGGAATGACGCTGGAGTCGAGGTTAGCGTGGGGACCATTCGCCGCGCCCTCCACGAAGCTGGTTTAAGTGCAACAGAGAATGATGAAATACCGAAACTTTCGCCAGCAAATTTCGAGGCCCACTTGGAGTTAGCCAGAAGCCTCATGGGTTGGACGATTGATGACTGCAAGCGAATTATTTGGTCGGGTGAGACCAAGATCAACCGTTTTGGCTCAGATGGACGCGCCTGGTACTGGAAACGTGAGGGAGAACGCCGGAGAGCTCGACACGTCAAGCAGACTGTCAAGCATGGAGGCGGCTCAATCATGATCTGGGGCTGCATGACGATCATGGGAACCGGCCACATATGCAAGTTCAACGGAACCATGGATCAGCAGCTCCACAGATCCATCCTGTAGGACGAATTGCTGCAAACGATCGACTGGTATGATCTTGACGTCAACAGAGTAATTTTCCTGCATGACGACGACCCAAAAAATAAGGGGAAGAGGTTCCAGCAATGGCTGAATCAACAGCCGTTCGAGGTCCTCGAGTTGGCAGCTCAGTCTACAGACCTAAACCCCATCGAGCATTTCTGGGCACACCTCAAGCGGCGCCTTAAGTCAGGTTTAAGTCTGGCTAAACCCCCCAAAGGAATACTAGAGGTGTGGAAGCGGGTCCGAGCAGAGTGGAACAAAATGGAGCAAGAAACATGCCGGAGATTAGTGGAATGCATGCCTAAAGGCGACTTGAGGGATGGGGACAGAAGATTGAATTTGTTCAGTAGGGGAATCAAGTGGGGAATCAAGTAGGGGAATCAAGCACTGGGGACAAAACTGTCCGAATGTAGTCATTGGCTTTCATTTGAGATTGCTCCATTACAGCGGGATGGATTCTAATGAAACTTTAGACACTTATTGGCTAAAAAGGATGTGTCGCACAGAGTAATTGAATTAACTTATACAGAGATAATTAGTCCCAAAGCGGATGTTTCTGAACATGCGGACAGTTTTGTCCCTCGGTGTAGATGCGAGGTGACTCATACTAGGAAATACGAGTTTCTCCTATTTGTTTCTTAGAAGTGGAACTTGGTGAGAACTGCACAATTTCAACAGATTGCCCGTCGAATGCAGAATGCACTGAGGGTAAATGCAATTGTACCGCGGGACACGTGGAAGAACATGGAAAATGCAGTGAGTCAGTGTCATTATTTCCTCACTACGTGTATTTCCAAATGTTGCATGTGAAAATCGGTTTGAGGAAATTCTGGCCACTCTTCGTCCGTGCAGAGGTTGGAACTGAAGGGCTTTCATTTGCATAGGGTGGAATTTCATAATATCGTATTCAACTGCAAGAAAAATCTCAAATTTATTTTGCTGTCCAATAAATGCAAAGAATATTGTGGTTAGATTATAACTACTTTCAGCCCTTCGAACCTGGAAAATCGTGTATATGCGAAATAAATAGACAAACACGACAGCTTAAAATGCATGTTAGAGTGCAGTTAAATCGAGTTTTCAGCTTGGAACGGGGAGCTTAACTGAATAAGGACTCAATGAGGCCATGCGATAATTGCCAGTTCGATGGAAATGGTCAAATGACCTTGGTGCGGGCGGACAGAATGCATTTTTCCATGAGGACATTCTTGTGCAAAAGTAAAAACAGCAGCTTGACATCATTGTGTGTATGGAAGATGATAAAGAACAGCAGTGCCATCTTAGCACTGGGAATGGAATAATTGCCTGTTAGAGAACGTATCCTATGTGGAAACTACTTCTTTCCAAAAAGAAAGTGCCCCTAACAAGATGCTATAGTACTGATTCCCTAACCGATTCGCAACAATGACGGAGTCTTGCGCATCTGGCAGAGACTCTTCAAGGCACTTGGCTTGTCGAACACATTGTATCCAATTTTATAGTGTGAATGCTCTCGCACGGTTCAGATAGGACAAAATGCCTACGTTGCCATTTTTAATAGATGTTTTGTCGGTGCATATGCAAGGCTTGCTTTTGACGTTTTACTCGCAGGACTCCCCATGGTGGGTGAAAACTGCACAAACACCACAGGATGTGCGACGGAATATGCAGAATGTGCAGCTGGTACGCCGGGGAACATGACCTGCAATTGCAAGAATGGATATGTCCTTGTTGGAACAGAATGCAGTGAGTATAGAACATTTGATCAAGCTTGCATTGTTCCATATGCGTGGACAATGCTTTACATGTCTGCTTCACAAGCGTTCCACATGAATTTTCCATCATTGACGCATTTTATTCCCTTCAACATCTGTATCATACACACCCCATTCATTCTCTGCCCTTTAAAGCCAGGAGAAAGACATTTCGAATTCGAAATCCATTGCAGCTACTATAAGTGCATCAGAATTCCTATGAAGCACATGTGTCAAGCACGTTTATCTTAAATTTTACAGTGGATATACATATATTTCACATTTAGTGCGTGTTCCGCAGAAACATTCTTTTTCCAGATCAGTCGACCAGAGTTTCACGCACTGGTTCATGGCGCTTGACATGGTGTTTCTCTTGGCAATCCATTTTTTACTTATTCAGGTGCTTAGCGTATACCCTAAGATTGTCATTGTTTGCCTTTAAGTGAATCGTAAGGTTCTGCACCACCTTGGAGAGCACTGCTGGGGAAATGTCTCCTGCAACATTGCGGATGTTGACTTTTGGAGTTTACTGACGTTAGGGGTCGGAATTACCAGGCATTATGTGCTTTGGACAACCCCCGAAGTCTGATGGCATCCAATTTGGTGACGATGTTGGCCATGGGACACCATGAAGATGAAGCAGTTTCCACATATTGCACGATCTGAGGTCGCAAAATGTATTTGTTTCATGCCATCTCACGGACACAGAACAGTGTAATATCCACCCCTGACAAGTACAAGCTCTTGAAGCTGTAACCTGCTGTGTTGTAAGAGACATCCTAGCAGCAGTATTCCCCAAGGGGCCATAGAGCCTCACTCTCGTCCCAGGCAGTGTTTGAAACTCATGGGGCACGCACTTGGTAGGCCTACGTGCTACATAAATTTGCTTTCACGCTACCTCATAGCATTTGTGTTACAAGATGTAATAGTCCTAGCGCATGCAGCAGGTCATTGTAAGAGTTGATTCTGAATAGAAATGCATTCGCGGAACACTGATTGAATTGGAGGGGGGGCTCGCAAGTAAATCCCATGCTTCCTCGCTCGAATAACCAACAATTAGCGAGTTACTTTTCTGATCTCTGCTTTATGGAACTGGAAAGCACTGCAGTGGCAACACAGGCAAGTCCCAATTCAATATGTGGTGACGATTTATCTCAAAAAGCCATTTCTCGGGTGGATTTTGTGCTGCCAGCAGAGAGGGTTTCAATGCAATGGGATTTGAACTAAATAATGAAAGTTAAGCTAAAAATCCAGTCAAAAGAAGGCATTAAAAGTTCAGTATCACTTTCATGCATGCTGTTGAAATGTCGTGTTTTCCACTTCCTTTTACCAGCAAAGGCACTATCGCGAGAAATAATCCATTCCTAGCACTAAACTGGAAAAGTAAAACATGAGGTTTGTCTCTCGGAAATATATATAATATGCAGTACTATAAATGAACGGCCTTCGGGTAACATATCCCGTAATGTTCCACGTTACGCATCCACATATACTCCGTAATGCCAAACGCGATTACATTTTCAGCTATCGATAACAAAGCATAAAACTGTACTTTTGTCCGACAAAAACCGAGAGGCTCCTCACTTGTCACTTAAATTACAGGATGATTATAAAGTCCTGTGGGGTGTTTTCAGAGCCGTAGTGACCAAAGTAGATGGAGTTTCATCGCCAAACTTGCAGGAAGCACAGATATGGTCATGGTAAGGTCATTTGTTACATAAAAGTTGAGATGGCGCCACTCCCATCCCTTAGCAAAGTGGTTCTCAACCGGTGGGTCGCGATGGTCTTCCATGTGGGTCGCGAAAGAATGAAATGAATTAAAAGATGAGAGAGTTATTGAGAAGAAAGAGATCGATCCTAAGTGCCAAATCGAACAAAGGAGATATATTACTAGAGCTTAACATTCTAGGTATGATCTAATCTGTTAACACGGACAAAAAGGCAGCACAGGGAGAAGGCTTGCTGGCAAACAACTCTAAGAAAGGGCAAACAGCTTTAAAATGACTTTTTAATCATTCTTACTCTTAACCTTCATCCCTAGTGAACTCCTTGTCATTTCTGGCATTCCCTCTGGTTCTTAGGTGTCGTAGTTGTGAGTGACGCTGCTTTTACAGGCAGAAGCCGACGTTTATTTTCTCGAATTCGTTTCTCTGCTACATGAACTGATATAATTCCTTTTGCCTCTCAATTTTTGGAAAAGTTAACAAAGTTCATCTTATCCGTAATTTCCTTCATTTACATATGTAGGTACAACATTTATATGCAGACAGATTGTTTCAAGATGAAACCAAGTGCAAGAGCTGAAACTAATAGTTGCATTCTGGATAAGTCACCAAGACAGAAGTCGCAAAAAAGTCGAAACTAGTACAAATTCAGAAGCATAATGATTCATACCTTCAGTTTGATTTTCACAGTCAGAAAGTATGAAACCAGAATGCTAAGTTTGTGGTGAACTGATGGCCAATGCATTCGTGAAGCCTTCCAAATCGAAGCATCATTTAGATCGAAATCACCCAACATTGAAGGATAAATCAGTATAATTTTTCCAGAGGAAGATCGAAGGGGAAACATAAATAATGAAGGAATCACCAGTGCCAAGAACAATATTTTGAGAGCGTCATGTCCGTATTTAAAAAGGTCGATCAACTTTTTTCTCGAGTCACACGGCTGCATTATTTCTGGACGTTTCTAAATTTGTTGTTCGCATAGAGATGGGAAGAGGACATAAAGGGTCGCGACATGAAAAAGGTTGAGAACCACTACCGTTTGACTTTATATTGTGCAGTGGGTAATGGTGATGCCACCTAGGATGGTAATGGTCATCCCGACTTTTATGAGGCAAATGGCCTTCCCATGTCAGTATCTGTGCACCCTGCAAGCTTCGCAATCCAACTCCATCTGTTTTGGTCACTAAGGCACTGTAAGCACCCCACAGGACTTGATAACCACCGTGTAGAAGAAAATGCTATCGCTAATTGGACTCACGCGTCAACATTTTTTTCAGAGTCAGAAGGTGGACTTGGGAGTCCTTGTGAGAGCGAAAAAGACTGCGAAGTTGAAAATTCTTCGTGTAATGAAGAAAGTGGCAAGAGGACGTGTAGTTGCAGACCAGGATACAAAAAAGATGAAGAAATATGCCGTGAGCTGCTTTTGCCTCCTGCATTTCACTTGATCGCATTCTGATGCTCCATTCGGCATGGCTTGGCAATGCATGGCGTAGGCTGAAAATAACTTAGTGGGTTGCGATACTCATTTGAGAGAATCGTCAGGAATCATGTGCACTTTTTTTGGAGGAAACAACTTCCTTCCTTGAAACCCTCATCCGCTCTAAATATGCATTCTCCCATAATCCACCCTTGAAGTTCACAACATACGGGACTTCAGCGATAGGACTTGGCCGGAATTCAAAAAAGGCAATTTACACAAAGGCGTGCAAAAGGAAGCTGCCTTAAAACTTATACTGGGGTTCATGCATTTGTTCATATGACGATGTGTGACCTGACTGCAATGAAATATTCCAATTGGAATGTTCTAAAGGATCGTTTTCATGGACGTGAAGCGCGCACACGTGACCAGCCTCCGGAAATACAATATTTGTCGATCTGCCTCTACATTCAATTTATTCAAGCGATTTGCAAGTATGTTCCAATCTGCAACAGTAAGAGCAAGGATACAGATGAACTCACATTTTATCACAGGGTTAGGGACGTTTTTCTGCACTAGATCTCCTTCGGATGCAAATAGTAAAATACTACGCAATCATCACGTCGGAAAGCACTGTTCTATGAATCACTTAAAATAAAATAATTGGAACTTTCAACAACGTCTTAAAAAAGCATTTAAGGCAACATACTTTTGCGCCACCCAATATGTACCTGTCTCTTCACTATAAGAACGTTCGCTTCATCATCATGTAGATAATGTACTCATACATGTTGCAGCATTAACCCAATTCGCATTCAGAAACTTTTCGGCCTATCAGACCTAGAATTCTCCAGCTTTAGCCTGACGTGCGAGGCCTACAAGTCAATGCCTTTCTAGGCCATAGTCCAGGCGGAAGGACGTGGGACGATCCGTAAAGTACGCTTGAGGATGGGAGTTGGAACTGTATGTAATCCAGCACGCCTATTAACCGATCCTGTAGCACTGAGAAGGATAAGAAAGAATGGGACAGGACACATAACTGGAATGTATTCTATTCGTTCGAATAGCCATTGCATCATCTGGAATATTCCCTTTCCTCACCCAGGCTTTGACATATTTTCATGGTCACTTAGGACTCCCCAATCTGGGCGAAGAATGTCAGCAAGGTCCAGGATGCGCCACTCCGAATGCAACTTGTGCCTTTGTTGAATCGGAAGGCATGATGTGCAAATGCGTCGAAGGATATTACCAGGACGGGAAAATATGCAGTAAGCATTCATTACCATGTTCATATTATATACTGAGAACATATTCTCGCAATTGATATAGTTTCTTAGGAGAAAAGCAGAGGCCCCTGAATTTAAGTGCATAAAATTTAATCGCCCACTGGTTTTAGACGTACTGAAAATAAACTATTAAAAATATGAAAGTTAACAACTTTTTGATATCTTTCGTAATATGAGCAGGAAAGTAGGGTCTGTTCCTCTTGGCAGCTGCTTGCATTCGTCACTGTCTTTATTATTCTCGCGAAGATTAGAGGGAATTCAATTGGATTGAAGTTCAAGTACATATCACTAACAGAGGTTAAGAGTGCATTAGTACGCATGCTTTAAAAAGCTAAAAAGGGACTTGAGCAAACCAGGCGCGGCAAATTCGATACGTAACGAGAAGGCATGCCCTATTGTTTTCTAGCTTTCATGAATTTGGCAAGAAATTGCAAGGAGACGGCGAGAAGGAAACAATGTGAGGAAATGGCAAAAGGAAAAATTCAGTACCTGTCCATTTATCTGACAATTTCCTCATTCCACGTGCTACTGCTTAGTTTTTGAAATACTAGACATTACTGAGTTGTTAAGTGTAGTTAATTATTTTTATTCAATAATTGTTTAAACATTTTCTGGACACTCATCACTTTTGCCAACAAAGTAAATTCAGACAAATGTGCTGCCAAAGAAAGGACTTACACGCTGCGACCTCATAAATGAAATTGAAATACTAAAAAACTATTTTGATCAGAATTAAACACAGGCGGAGGAAGAAGAGGATTGTCCGGTGGGGCCATCTTCGCCATCATTCTCGTGGTCGGGATCTTAGCATCCATCATCGGCTTCCTCGTCCACGCCTCCATCTACAGACCCGATCGAGTACTTGCCATCAAGCGGAGACTTGGCATTGTTCGTCCCATAACCGATCGGGTGGAATACGACACCCTATAACATTACTGTGATGCACGAACTGCTACCAGCAGGTGCTGGTTCTCTGTGATCAATGTTTGTGTGCATTAATCATCCTGTGACGATAAATTATGGAGTGCAAATTGAAACTTTTGCGGATGGAAGTGGGTCTTACCTAGAGAGTGACTCGTGGAAGTATACCAGAATGCACTAAAACGGCCGCATGACTGGACAGGTGAGACTTGCGTGGTGATATTCAAACTTTAAGCAGCATTCCACTTCGAAATAAACTCATACCTGTGTTACACGGAATAAGCGAATATTGCCGACAGAAGGTGAACGCGTATTGAAGGCCAAGAGTCTGCACGGTTCGGGCAGAAATCGAGCGGATACGGAAGTATGGCTAAGTACGACAATGAATTCTACGCAATGTGCGTTTCCATGAATCGTGATGCTTTATTCTCTGAACATGTCATAGAATGGAAGAGACTCCGAGCTTCACAGTGAAGGAGCCTGAAGTGACACATTCAGATGTTCACCTCTGCCTAGACATTTTTCACCATGCCTGAAGAAATTGAAGGGAAAATGTTCTCGCGTCATTGTAAGCTCACGGATGTCGTGAAAACTCCGGCATTGTCTCCTTATAGTTCACTGGGAAAATAATTGTCCGTCTCTTGTATATTGCTTTGCTTGATAGAGATGTTGGGATAAATATTTCCCATCAGAGCAAACAAATGCATTGAATTGTTAAATTGACGTGGTGTAGGAACATATTTTTTTCAATAATTTTTATGCGGAGTATAGCATACAAGGAGTCTGCAAATAAAATAATTTTTAAAAGAATTAACTCCAAGTATTTTTCCCTAAAAAAGGTTATAGGCCTATCTACGACGACAGATACTGTCAATGGCATTTGAAAACAACGCTTCCGAGACCTCGATCACATCTCATGAGAAATATGCAACAGGGAAGACGACAACGCCTGTCAGTTCACCTACATCTTCATATGAAAAGCGTTCTCGTTCACGAAACTCTTAATCGTATTTGTTCTTCTCCGGAACAAAGGTCAATAACGGGGTTAAATCAAATGTACGCATTCCTTTGATATAGGAAACTATGGACATGTTCTACTAAAGTGATTTAGCGCTGAAGTAGCTAAGGCTGAATTTTCTTGCTAATAATTTACCTATTACTTTTGAAATGAAATACGCAATTGCTGGTATTTAATATCCAGGTTCGTCCAAGAGCATCATTCAACATGGTCACACAAAGTAGCGATGGAAATGTCGCGTCGATGTACACACTTTTCATGTTTATTTGGAAACAGCAGCAATTATTTCCTCCATGAGCATTTTCAAATTAAAGACGAGATATTACTTGAAACGAATAAATTCGCACCACGGCGCCTTCAGTCCAGGCAGGGCGCGAACTACATCATTGAACACCTACCAAGGGCTGAACCACTTAGTGGATTATTCTTGTTACACTCTAGTTTCACAAGGAAACCAGGGCGCAATCACGATTGAAGTGAGAATCAAGGGTTTTGAAAACCCTCAAATACTTCAGTTTTCGAATGGGGACGTGGATTAGGCACGCCATGAATCATTTATCCTGGAAAACTTCAGATTTTCGACGGTGGTAGGATGAAGTTTCCCATTGGAAATAATGTATAAATCGTATCGTAGAATAAATCATGCTGGCTTCGAATCCCCCGAAATAAATCATGATGAAGTAAGTGAAACCGTGATGGAAACATTGTCGTGGAACCAGGTACACGCGAGCTGAAACTGGTTTATTCTTGGAGCTCCTAGGATCTCAGGGCTTAGAAGCAGCAGATAATCAATGCTCTGATTATTCAAACCGGAGGGCCTCGATTGCGAAGCAAGGTTAAACATATATAGCGTGCGCGATCCTGACTGCTTGCTAGGCCGAGCGACGAATGTGTGTTTGTGTGCGTGAGACAACTCTACAGGCCAAACGATTTAAGACATCAACTTGGGATTTCAACATAAATCTTCCTTATCATTCGAGGATGTACCTTTGCGAAAATAAATTTGCAAATCGTCCTCACGAAAAGGGAGAGGAATCAACTTTCACAGAAAATCGGAGATTCGCTCTCGTCTTCCCGATGGACGCGGAGACGAGAGTTTCCGTGGTACTTCAAAGGGAACGCTGGCATCACTCACTGCAGTGATTCCCGCCGGCTGCCGTCATTTCAAGGGATTTCAAGCGTCCATGATGAAATACGGGGCAATTCGTCAGTTCGTCGCCACTTACGTTCACACGAGCACCGCAGAGAAGTCCATTAACGCAGTTTTATCGTGGGGGTTCATCTCTCAAAATGTAGGATTTCAACATTGCAGAATGACGCACTCTTACGTCGCTTTTTACATCACCCTCAGTCATTTCAAAGTGTTCACAAACGACGCAAGGAAGCCGACGAGCGCGAGAGTTCTTCAAAAGTTCTACTGCTTTCCCGTATCACAGTCTCATCGGTAGATGACTAACAAATTAAAGGTATAATCTATGGGAGACGGGAGCCTACATTAAAATGAAGTGTGATCGTGACTATGTTGTTGGTTGCATGTTTCTTGTCTTCCTCCATTCGTCTGAGCTAATGTACGATGCTAGCCGTTCGGGTTTCTGAGATTGAGACTCCCCCATATTTTGATGGTTTATTTTCCATCTTATAGTAGACTGAAGTGGAAAAGACTCTCGCTAGTGTTGGAAAGTGCACTTCACGTAGTGTGCTGCTTTCAAACTACAACGGTGTGATTCTATCATATGGATGATATTTAAAATTTCGAAGACGTTAAGAATATAGCCCCAGAGCTCCCGTGGGGTTGTTCCATGTCCGCGGTCTTGCATGGCTATGCCCATTACATGGTCTTACGCCACGAAGACCTCTTGTGTTTGAGGGGGGGGGGATGCGACATCCGGTTACGCAGTCTGCCGCCCAGCGTCTTCCGACCTGTGAGTCCGTCCCCAGCAGCCGTGTCAGGCCTGTCTCCCGTCATACGTCTTCCGTCGTGGTCGGATGTGTGCTCTCACTCCCTCTCCCCCTGTCTTCTCTCCCCTGCCGTCTCACGCCGTATGCCGTGGCAGTCATTCCTTAGTGTTCATCAAAGCCCGCCTAGCAAGTCCTGTTTTGCCCCACGAGCCCGTTCTGCCAATCATCACCTCCCCTTCTTTAACTTTGATATTCATTAATTATTTTAATTTAAATTAAACACTTGTTCCTTGTTGTTCGACACCGTATTTCATTTGTCATCAGTCGTCTCCTTAGACGGCTTGTCCTGTCAGTGGAGAGAGGCCGGATTCTTTTGCCTCCGTTTAACCGCTCGTGCTAAATTATATTTTTCCTTGCATTCGGTCAAAAGTTAACGTTAATAGTCCATTATTTAAGACCCTCCACGCGACAATTCTAATCTTTACCCTGAGGATTTTTCGCGTCTCCAATTCTGCCGTCAGGGGTTTGCGATATGGCGATCGTGCTCATATTCCGATGTATTTTTCTTTACAGCATCTAGCAATCCAAAACCACAACGTCACAGCTAAACTAGGCATTAAACAAATTATTCTCAGAGTCCCAGACGGGCAGGCCGTATGGAATGAAATTCCAGGGTGAGAGTTCCCCCACCTACGGATCCTTATCCTACGAATGTCGGAGAAAAGACGACAGAAAACTTACAAGAAGACAGAGAGGGATCAATGTTGAATCCATAATTTTCTCCTCATCGACGAGAGGTGGACAAGGACACAGTTTTAAAAAGTTCGTGGTAGTGCAGCTACTGCATTCAGTGGAAAATAGCTGCAGGATGATTAAATGTGCGACAACTCTGACATTGGCTTAGGGGTGTGTTATTCTCAACCTCGCAAACTATTCCGGGCTTGTCACACATCCGAAACAAAGCGAATGAGAACCCGAAGTAATTCAACTCGGTGTGTGAAAAGTTACAGGAGCTGGAGGAAAAGAGTGACAAAAGAGTTTGAGGTCGCTCTTCAAATATGGAGGTGAAGTTTAGACAAGCATATGATGAACAAGAAGATTAACTTTGGAATTTCAGACGTAAAAAATCGCGGAACTGAAGTTTCTCAAGGAAGAAAGTCGTCTTGTGAATCGTATTGATAGATTAAAGCACCAAAAAGAGGAAACGGTGGATCAAGTGGTAGAATTGTATTTCTACTCAAAGAAACATAACTTCGTCATTCATGGGTTGGGAAAGAAGCCGAATGAGAAACGCCAGGAAATCCTCGATCTCCTGTTCAGAGAAGAAATGAAAAGTCACGTGACTACGAAACGTGTGTTGACTCAGAGGCGAAGAGGAAACCGCGGGGCTCTCCCGGTTACTGCCCGGTTTATGGGTCAACCCGGGGGAAATGCAAACCTTTTCATGGCCCATTGCATTAAGGTTCAGGGATCTCCCATGAGGGAGACCTTCCTCGAAGTTTGGAGAGGAACATAAACGTATAAGGAGTGAAAGGTCTAATCAAGCTGCAACTACGGGGAACGACAAAATATCAGCCGGAATACCAAATCAGAACTTTCGGGACTGCAGTGAAACTTCTTATTCAACTGGGTCTTAATTGGAATGATCTCCAATGACGGTTAGTGTCAACCTCATTCTCTTTTGTTTTTCCTAGATAAGAGGCTCTATTCCGCGTCAAAACAGATATCGGTAATGTAACTCGGGGCTATCCCAACTACCTCGTATCTGGAATCCCAACTGCGGAGTTCGATACGGATCTTTCACCTCACCCCGATGGAATTTCGTGCAGCGAGGTCTCCTGTAAAGGGAATGAGTGTGTTCTCCAAAGCTAAAGACAAATTTCTGACGCATTTCGAGGAGGGCGAACCACAATTACGGATGTGGTTCTTGCGCACATCAATTGCAATGCGCTGTGCCGAACACTGCGAGACAAATGCCACGAACCTTTGCGAGAGATGTAGTAACTACACGCGACCACGATTCTCCACCTAGAACGCTGCTGTACTCGAGGGCGATTTTTCTGCTCTTAAAAGGATGCCAAGGAGTTTCCCG